CCCCCCCCCCCCCCCCCCCCCCTCCCGCCGCCCCCTACCACGAAGGAGCTACAAGCTCACCTTGTCCTCGTAGCCGGCCTTCTTGATGGCCGCCATCAGCAGCTCGATCCCCTCGAGGTTGCTCTGGATGTTGGGCGCGAAGCCCCCCTCGTCTCCCACGTTGCACGCGTCCTGCCCGTACTTGCCCTTGATGACCGACTTGAGCTCGTGGTACACCTAGAGAACAAAATAAAGGGTAGTAAACCTAAGAGAAAAAAAAAAAAATGTGGTACACCTAGAGAACAAAAAAAATGTGGTACAGCAGTACACCTATGTAGAGAAAAAAGAGAGAAAAAAAAAAATTGCGGTACACCGAAAGGAAAAACAAAAAAATGTCTCGACGCGGTGTTGTATCCAACATATGCATAGATGAAGAACTAAAGAACCAACCAACGAATGGAAGAATAAAACAACCAGCAAGTGTGCGGTGGAATGGAACACCGGAAACGATGATCAGCCGTCCCGCAACAAGCCTCGGGAACAAACATGACAGCCAACACCAGAAACGATGATCAGCCGTCCTGCAACAAGCCTCGGGAACAAACATGACAGCCAACACCAGAAACGATGATCAGCCGTCCCGCAACAAGCCTCGGGGAACAAACATGACAGCCAACACCGGAAACGAGCGAGATGCGCACCCAAATGCTGCCAACAACCGGCAGAGCAAGATCAATCCAACGGACTACCACGTACTGCGAACCAAACTCATCCCAAGACATAGATGCAACACAAAGAACCTCCAGCAGCAGCAGCAGCCGTCAGCAGCAGTCGTCAGCAGCAGCCGCAGCAGCCGCTGTCAGCAGCAGCGATAACCAAACCACAACGTCAACGACTAACTCACCTCGCATCCGATGGACATGGCCTCAGTGAAGGTCTCCGCCCCCGTGGGAAGGATCATGAACTCCTGGAACGCCAGCTTGTTGCCGGCGTGCTCCCCGCCGTTGATGACGTTGAATGAGGGCACCGGCAGCACCAGCTGCATCAACGGATCACGATTGATGGTTTTAAATCAGAGCGGGCGTTCCCGATTGGAACCACGCGATCAGGGGGGGGGGATGTCAGGTTCTCGATTGATGGACGTGTTCGTGATTTCTTTCCCGCGATGAAAACCGATGTCATTATCATCGGCCTGCTAGGCTAAAACGGCTGACGCTAATACAATAAAAAAAACACACACACACACAAAATGACGTGTTGTCATTGGTAACCGGCTGTAGCACGGTTGGCGCTGAACAAAAAAAAACACACACAGACTCTGAATAAAAAGAAACACAACAACACAGAACACACTATTATCTCCGCCGCACAGCAGTGACAACGGGAAAGCCAACCCATCACCAAACACCACTGTTTCCAGCCGCACCGAGGCTGACCTCCTCCCACTGGCCATCCTGGTTAACGCGATCGATGACAACAGTAAAGACGAAACACACGCGCGCGCACCACAGAGAAAAAAAGCACTCACTGCTGTAAAAAAATTTCAACCCCATCCCCTTACGACTAATTATATCTTGGAACGGGTACTCTTTCTGGCGATAGAACATCTTCCTAGAAAACCTGCAAAAGCTCACGTCGGAGTTTCCCGCGAGGTCGGCGTAGTGCTGGTACAGGGGCACCGCCTTGGAGCCCGCCCCGGCCTTGGACACGGCCAGAGACGCGCCAAGGATGGCGTTAGCCCCGAGGTTGCCCTTGTTGGGCGTCCCGTCCAGCTCGATCATCTTGGCGTCGATGCCCTCCTGGTCCGTGGCGTCCAGGCCGATCAGCGCGGGGCCGATGGTCTGGTGGGAAAAAAGCACACGGGGGAGCGGAATGTGGGGGAGGGGGTGGTCATCATGTGGGGCCGCGCGCTTGACTGCGACGTGTCGTGTACGGAAGGCTCGTGTGTGTGTGTGGGTGTCTGCTCTCTACCATCGGCCGCGGAAACCGACCGACCCATGACAAGACGCCGTCAGTCTTACAGCGTGTGTGCGCGCATGTGGTGCGTCTCTTGATAAGCATCGACAGCCCTAAACCGGCCGACCGACGGAATAGGGAACAGACCTCAGCCTTGTGACAGCGGGACAATCGCAAAAACTCCGAAAACGCTTTCCAGTCGTGGCAACTACCCCGAACCCTAACCCTACGGTGGAGAGGTCGCATCGAGTCGACCCTGAGCGGCAGAGCGGCCACGTGGTGCCGAATAGTACGGCCGCGCGCGGTGTAATCCCCCCCCCGCTTTTTTCGTTTCGTTGTTCGGCTCGGTTGGGAGCGGAAGAAAACCAGACCAACCCCTCTGCGACATTGTGGCGTGTGGCGTCTGTCAACCCATGCCTCTCTATTCTACACGATCCGAGCAGTGTACCATCGTTCGTAGTAGAAGTAGTCCCGATTGTCCCGGTCGGATCAAAACACAATATCGCCAACGCAATGCAACCGGAAAGTTGCTGTACTGAATCACTTGCTCCATCGTGTAGAACTGGCACTATTCTACCAAATGGGACGTGACTTCACGACCGGCATCCTCAACACGGTATTCTCGTCGCGTTTCCGGACCGGACAGCAGGCGACCAAGACCATCTTTGCACCGTCCCTATGGAAGGTCTCCATGACCAAAAACCAAATCGACACCCGCTTTGCTGATCCCATACTGTAGTCCGGGACTCGTGTTCTCCCGCTTTCACCATTCTGCCTCACAGCAGCAGAGCCGCGGACTCAAAGGGTATAGACCAGCTTCACGGATGCATCTCCCACACTCCCTCAAGGCAAACATCAATATTTATGCACTCTGCATCTTTCTTACCTTGTGCCACCGCCCTTTGTGATAGATAATGGCACTGCCGTGATGGAGAATATGCCCGACATAAAAAAGCGGCTGTACACTGCTGCATGGCTACTAAATAAATAAATAGACGCAGCTGAACAGAATTTCTTGTTTTGGCTGCAACAAAACAGACGCTGCCGCTGAACGAAAAAAACAAAAAAGAAGGGGCCCCGCCCCACCTTGTTGACGTTCTCGACCGCCTTAGACACGCCCTTTCCCATGTAAAGGCTGCCCCCGTCGCGGAGCTCCACGGCCTCGTGCACCCCCGTGGAGGCCCCCGAGGGGACCGACGCGCGGAACAGTCCCTCCTTCGTCGACACGTCCACCTGGGACGAAAATGAAAGACGGCGAGCGGTGACGGACGGACGATTACGGGGGCGTACTCTCATGTTTTTGCGTTCATCACATGGCGGTTAGACCATTGACCACAGGCTATTGGCGTTTACGTCCTCATGCAACATGGCGTTATGATAGGGGCTGCGTAATGTACAACCAGTAGTTTACTAAATGGGAGGGGGGGGGGGGGGGGGGAAAACCTAGGGGTAATAAAAAACCCTTTTCTTGGGC